CTGGAGTGATCTTTTCTTGGCAACGGTCTCGCACGTTGCTAATAATCAGTTCAATTGTATTGGCCGTTTCGGGTAAGCCAAGCCTTGCCTTACCCGTTAGTCTTGTTCGTAAAAATTTTGCTGCCAAAGGTTTGTGATCAGCTTTGACTAGTTCGTTTAGAAGATTCGCTGAGTCGACGAATGCTTCTAGGCCATCTGCATCTCCATTGTATGGCTGGACTAATGCAGGAGCCGTTTTAATGTCAAAATCGGTCATTTTGGGGAATCGGTTTAACCAAATGATTAGTTTTACAAGTGTTTTGAATCTGATAATTGGGTTGTCTGCGAACACTGTTGGGAAGTTATATCGTCGTAATAATACGATAAGTTTTGCTAACGATTTGAATTTAATTTTTGTAGGACGTGGAATTTGAGAGGTTGAGGTTGGAAAACGCTTCAGGAGTATACTTAGTCTCGCGACGCTTTTAAATTTAATTTTCGGTGGGCAGACCTTTGGAGGCGCTAAACGATTAACGAATATAATAGTTTTTGCAATAGTTTTCAATTTATATTTTGGCGTTCTAGAACTGATAATCGCTTTAGATAAAAGTTGTTTGCACCCTTCAAATTTCGTCTTCGTTATTTCGTAAGTTTCGTAATGCGCTTTCCAGGTGCCTTTTTGTTCAAATTCTTTCTTGCTTGACTTCAAAAGACTAACATACTCGCTGAATAAATTTCCCAAGGTTTCTTCCTTCAAAGTAATCGTCTCAAGAGTTTTAGCCTTGTTGACGCTTTTCCGGAGGTTCGTAAACTCTTTTGAGATATAATCCTCGATAAAACTTAATCTGCTCATTTAGAAGAAAAATCACACGTTTTGCCCAAGCATACAACACATTTCTTTCACTTGCTTTGACCGAGAATTGAATACATCGCCTGTTAAACGATCTACCTACTCAGAATGTTTCAATAATTTACAGAAAACACTTGACTATGGAAAAACTATAAATCTACATTTTCTAGTTATTTATTATCATCTTTGTTGATGGGTACTTATCTTGAGGCTTGAAATTTTCATCAGGGTGTCTGGTGACTGCTCGTCCTGGACTTGTGATGCGTTCACAGGGTGTCTGGTAACCGTTCGCCCCTGGTAATTGATGAGTCCTCAGGGTGTCTTGTGACTGTTCGCCCTGGAATTGTGATGCGTTCTCAGGGTGGTCATTGACCGCTGACCGTTCGCCCCTGACTGTTGACGTCTCTGTTAGAACGGACTGCTGTGCCATCAAAACGACTACTTTAATCAATTTAGTTTTTTCACTTCTTTTCTTCTTTTGTCTGCGTCTGTACCAAACAACGCTAATTATCACTGTTGACACAATTAGTAATGTTAATGTTGCTATCCCGTATATCAAATGTTTTTCGACAGTTCCACTATTTTCCACTACCTTATTTACATGATTAACGTCCGTGCTCAAAACGTTACTCCGTGTTTCTTCGATTGGAGTTGTCGGAATCGTGGTAGTTGATGTGCTTACGATTATGGGTAAACAGCCCCATACATCACACGCTGAGTAAAACATGTGTACGGTTTTCGCGATTCATTATGTTATCTCCTCATATAGTAACACACGCGATAGTTATATTGTTCTTAGTGATCACGAACTTCTTACATTGTTCAGTTGGATCTCGTGTTGAACCACGTTTTTGATCCCCTTTTTCATGTACTTGCTGTGAAGTCTCAGCAGGAGATACGCGATGATCACAACCACCATTGTCACGCACGCGCCTGCTAGGATTTTCATTTCCGTGGTGTTCATTTCCACTTGGTTCGTGATGTAGTTGTCGGATGTGAACCAACCCATTTTAGCACTTATCACTGCACAACTTTGTACGAACACTTTAGCAACACTTGGTTTCGCGGCGTGATGAACTTATTTTTCGGAGAAGGCAGGTCATTGGCCACTTAGTCGCGGTTCGCCAAATAGCATCTCTCCCGTTGATGCTTCACTACGGACTTGTCATCAAAATTAAGTCCACACTCTCCCGTGTCTAGATTAGGAAAGATTGGTTTATTTTCTCTTCAGCTTACATTTATATTTCCTACGACTAGAGTTACCTAGATTCATGCTACCTCGCACAGACAGTTTATTGACAATATTTGGAATAACCCGACTGAGACAACATAAACATAGCTCGGGTGACGCCCTTGCAAAGGTTGCAATTCGGCATAACCATGAGACATGCTTAACGGTCTCGCTATGTGTAATAAACAATAATAATTCAGCGTCTGCAGGTAAAGGTCGCAAGCGCATCAAATTCAAAAATAACCAACGTTACTGTTTTATGACCGTGATAATGAGCGTACACATCTTGTAAGCAGATTGTGCGAAATTGCTAATTCAGGAGGCGGGGGTAATCACGCCTAATAATTGATTTGGAAAAATCCTATGACTGATGCGTAGCAGGAATGACGGCGTTTCAGTCTTGTTGTTGTGTTGTACCTGCTTTTCTGTCCGGTATTGGTTGATGGTTTCACCCTTCCTGAAGTTGATGAATTTTGGGACCGAGAGGGCTGCAATTGGGTGGTCGGTGGTCAATGGCGGACCAGCAAATTGTACTTTCGCTGTGGCCAGTAGTTGCTTGTCCGATCCCTTGGCGCGGCTGTATTCATTTCCTTGGATGATGTTTTTGGTACTGCTGGTGTGGATTTGTTGTTGTTTTCGTCGTTTTCTGCTGCGTTTGGATTTTTCAGCAGCTTTTTCCTGCAACCTGCGAGTCCGTTGTTTTGCGTCAAATTTAGACCAGTCCTGCTTCCAGTGCCATTTGTTGCCTAAAAACCGCCATCCAGGAGATGAATGGTCAGTTTTTGGAGATATTGTATTTTTGTGTACTGGAGGACTTTCAGCTAACTCTTCCTCCAAGGTCTTCTGATGAGGTTCTGCAGCATTTATCTGAAGACTAGAAACAGCCCCAGATACAAATTTCACTTCCTCAAGAATTTCCAGAAGTTTCGGCTCTGGATGATGATGATGAGGTGATGATTCGGCCCCTTTTATTGAAAGTGCCATGTCATTAGATAAGCTTGATAGCCGTTCGTCAAGTAATTTTGTAATTTTTTGTGACATCAACGAATTTGATTCGTTGATGCCGGTTATTGTCGCGTGCGCTTGTGAATCACACGTTTTCATATGCTGGCCGACCGCGCTGCACATGTTATTATTGTTTTTATTTATTACTGCCAACGTTTCTTTTACGTCATTTAGCAGGTGCTCAATGCTGTCGAATAATTCTGATACTAAGCAGAATTCTTTTTTGGTCAGCAGCAATGCGGTGGTTCGCGTCCGTTTGAGAGTGGATTGCTTCCACAAGTTGCTCCTGTTGATGAAGCAGCTTCCTCACGTCGGCTTCCTTCCGTAAAATGTGCTGGCAGTCAGCACACATAGGCACCATGAATGCCGTGATGAAATGCTCCCGTTGTCGCTGTACTCCGACACAGGCAGCATGGTATTTTTTGTTGCAAAATTCGCACTTCCATAGAAAGCGGTCGTCGTTGATGCTGCATGATATTACACCGCACGGCATAACTGCTTATGTTTTAAATATTCGACGCGATACTATAAGGTACAAATGGCCAGCGAGACCCACACGCGTCGTTGTCGAAGTGTAAAAAAAAAATATATATATATATATATACAAATTACTTGCGGACCAAAATGCAAATGCGTCCGCGCCCGAAGACAGCTCCCTTATATTGTAGAGTGTGATGAACACAGCATTAAATGGAGAAGAGGTTGGATGAAGTTTCAAAACTTTATTTTGTTTCGACACCAGGGTCGTTTAATGTAGACAAAATAATATCGGAAGACTCTTCGTCCGTAAGATGAGAAATTGAAAACAATTACAGTTCCATTATCTGTCTACTATGAATGTCGCCTAGAAAGATCCATTTGGTTTGCTCATTCTATTATTGGGCAAACGCAATGATGCTTAAAAAATGTTCCCAAGCTCTACTTGAAAGTAAGTTGATGAAAAATGTTCGTGGACGTTTTCAGCAAAATTTCCTTCGTCCTTCCAAAAGCGTCATTCTCGTATAGTAATTAAATCAACAAAGAAAATCTCTCTTCGTCCAAATTCCTGTTATTACAATCAAGATTTCTTCCTCTTGGCTAGCCACGAGAAACTCGAAGCTTTCATCTTAGCCAAAACTGTTAGCTCCATTAAGAGCTTTCTTGAAGCATAAAAGCGTAGAAAACTTAATCCACCACGAGTACCATCGGTGTACTTTTGTCGTCACATCCATTAATTTCGGTTACGTCTGCCGAGATACGTCTCATGACCCAGATATAGCGCTCAAGAAAAAAAAAAGTTTCACTTTTATTATTCCGCTAAACTCGACTACCAAACATTCCGCTCGCTAATGCAATAAACATATAATACTGGAAACTCGATTACTTTCTTATTTTGCTCGTTCTTAGCCGGTCGATCAACCACGAAAATGTGCCCAGCAAAGGGCGGAACGAAACTTTAAATTAAATCGCTATTGATCAAATATTTTCCAACTTATCCAATTGCTTCCAAGCAATAATAGCGTAGCGCACTGCAGCAAACAAAAATGCATTAAATTGGCATCCCTTTCATTGCCAGGGAGAGAGAGAGAGATAAGTTAGAGAGGGAGGACCGGAGTGTGTGTTGTACGACTTAGAAAACGTGCTCGCAAACAGATTGAAAAGCTGCATTCTTCGGATGCACTTCGGATAGCATTTCGAATCGTATCGGAAGTTCCTGAATAAATTTTGACTGTAGCATTCGGTCACTCATGTCGGACCACGGTAACGTTGCAGCAGCGCTAAGTTTAAAATTTCGAAAACGGTCATTATGCAGCTTAGGGGGATTTGTTTCCCGTACTTACGGAGCAAACATTGGCAAGGAAGAAGTGCTTTTCGAGTGGAGGAAGAGCAATCTGCAATTGTGGCGAATTGGTGCATTAATTTAATGATATTCATTCGCATTGTATTCCTTTTCAGCTGGCTCACGAGAGAGTTCCGGCGCTCAAAAGTATTCAGTAATGGTGTTCGTCCATGGTGAATCGTACGAATGGAACAGCGGAAACCCATACGATGGATCCGTTCTTGCCAGCTTCGGGCAGATTTTAGTAGTTACAATCAATTACCGATTAGGAATATTAGGTTCGTATTTAGTACAGGTCCACAAAAAACAATTATTCATGTACAGAAAACCACCCGATAAGTCAAATGAAAACCTCATTCAATTAACTCTTCTCTTTATTACCACTCCTCCAGGGTTTTTAAATGCCAATATTGACCGGTTCTCGAAAGCGCCGGCCAACTACGGTCTGATGGATATCATCGCGGCACTCCATTGGATACAGGAGAACATCGAAGGCTTCGGGGGTGACCCGCGGAGCGTGACACTGGCCGGCCACGGGACTGGTGCTGCGTGTGTTCATTTTCTCATAGCTTCGGCTGCCGTGCCAGAAGGTAAGTTTATCGATTCATTTTTCTTTAATGATACTCCCAGGCATAATGTCCATTTATTTATGTTTCGATGGAAATTTATGAATGAGCAGCCCTCGATTTAATACCCCAGATTAATCCACCTAGCCGTTGTACGTGCCTAGGATGTATGGGTAAAGGTAGGCAAATTTAACTTTTCGATAATTTCACCGTAACCAAATGTCCGAATCTAGCCAAGTAATTAAACAATGTTTAAATGGAACTCCATACATATAATTATGAAATAATGGGATAAAAGTGTTAATACAGTGGGAAGTAATATTTATTTTAATCTCATCAATACGCATCTACATTAATTGGTCGCAGAAAAAATCGACAGCATTTGACATCGAAACTTCAACCGTCGATTTATCATGAATTGATAAACACCAATGCAAACCAGCAGCATCATCGGGTAAACAAGAATTTGACCTGATCGAGGGAGCAAAAACAAGCTCCGCTACGTGAACGATAGGCGCTTGACGTGTCTTTTCAAATGTTGATAACATATTTCAAACAATTAGCATTAATTGCTCCATTAAGCAATCCCTAGCCAAATCATTCAGAAATCGCCATAAATTTTCACTACCCTCTCCAATTTTGATGAAACTTTTCACATGTTTTCGGTAGGGAAGATTAACACTTTCTAATTTTTTTAATAACGTGTGATATAAACCATTGAACCAAATATGAGGAAGATCGAGAGAGATGCACTCCTGGACTGAGTAAATTTTGTTTCGATTCTCCTCTATTTCGAGCAGTTTCTTTTTAGGAAAAACGAGGAATATTTTACTCAGTCTATGAGTAACGCAAGTTTTTGCAATTTTTCACAAGGTTAATCAAACTTACAATCTAAGGTTAATATTCTTAAAGTAAACATATATGAGTTTCATAAACTCCAGATCGCGTCTAGCCAAAATATCCCGAACTAGAACTTTAGGTTGTCTACTTCGAGCCCGAAGGGAATCATAAAAATGTGATCTGACTCCACGATACTCCGCACACCTCCACCAAAGGATGTGAACAGCGTTCTGGTAACCTTATCCACATTCACAGAGATTGCTGACTCCCAACCCCACACGGAACAAGTGAGCGTTTACCGAATAGTGATTGGACATGAGGCGAGACATCATACGAGTGAAGTCTCGACCCACATCCAACCTCTTGAACCAAGGACACTTCGACACCTTAGTGATGATCAAATATAGCCATCGTCTCAAACACCCTTCACTCCATTTATTCTGTCAGCTGACTGACGAGTGACTGTTGACGGTAAATGAAGAAAAATTCATCGTAGGTGATTTGTCGATCGTAAATATCGCCTTCTATAGCGCCCACCTTATCAAGTGAGTCCGTCATCTCATTGCCCGGAATCGAGCAATGAGATGGGACCCATGCAAAGGTGATGACAAAAGATCCATCTGTGAAGAACGATCTTGCGGAATCAACTTGGCCAAACTTTGCAGTGTATAATGACGGAACAATCATGGAACGAAGATGTTCTGGGATTCCGCGAATCTCTTGCGTCATAGATAAATCAAAACTAACTGAACTGCCGAAGTCGAAAAAGCATACACGATGAGGATTATGCTGTGAAGGGCTGACATCCTGTGTTATGTACACGTAGTACAATGTCATAAAACGAGTTTGAGGGCTTAGCTCAAGAAGCTTCTCAAAGTTTGCAATCACCAGTGGGTTCATAATTTCACAACGGGTGAGGAGCCTGAGGGATAATTCCAAAAACCGATCAGAGAGTGGCAACAGAGCTAACACTTCAAGACTCGCCGTATGAGTCGAGTGCATGTATCCTAACGCGATACGAAGGCAGCGATACTGGATCCGTTCCAGTTTGATGATGTGCCGACTGAAAGCAAAAACTACCGTATTCTAAAACCGATAAAATCGTTGTCCGGTACGACGTTAGAAGATGTTGTGGATGGGCTCCCCACCACGGTCCGGTAATTGTACGGAGAAAATTGATCCTTTGTTGGCATTTCCGCTTCAGATACTCAATATGGGATCTCCAGGTGCATTTTGAATAGAACCAGACCCCAAGATATTTGAAAGACATGGAATGAGTGATCGGCTTACCCAAAAGTTGAAGCTTCGATTGTGCTGGGCTATGCTTCCTAGAAAAAACGACCAACTCAGTTTTCTCCGAGGAGAATTCGATACCTAGTTGGACAGCCCACGTCGACAAGTTGTCTAAGGTATCCTGTAAGGGTCCTTGCAGGTCCGACCCCTTTGGGCCTTGTCATAGACACTACGCCGTCATCAGCAAAATAAAATAAAAATCAAATTTTCAGCATCATATAGTTGTCTGTAGTTAAATTTTCAACGACATATCGTTTAATTTATTATGTTAGCTCATTCATGCATACAGTTAACGAGAAAATATAGCTTATATAAGAGCTTGAAATTTTTAAGGTTATAAAATATGATATCTTGAAAACTTAATTTAAAAATAATGAAAACCCTTTAAAACATAGAAGATATTGTAACAAACTTAAGCAGACATTCAATTCCAAAAGCAAGTGGTGAAAGATCGTAAGCAATGCTTGTACTAAATTGGGTAAATTAACCGCTCAGAACCGTTTTAAGCAGTCCATGCTGCTCATAAAAGTATAATTGTCCCATCATCTTGATTTCCTATTGATATGGGACAGTTATATTTTTATGGGCAGTACATATTTGTGTGGTATCATAAACATGTTAAAGGATTTAGGAAAACGAAAAAAAAATAATATTCATGTTCCAGTTTTGTATTTGTAAAATATTATGAAATAAATGGAATGCCAGTAAAAACATTAAGCAGATCATGAGCATTTCGTCTACAATGTGTAGACTTCTCGAGTCGAGTATTAGTACAAGACACTGAAGAATCAGAATTAACGTAATTAACACACCCAAAACTCGTTGCTCTTCGTCCAGTGATCATAGAATAGCGAGGAAATGACACGTTTGCATATTACAGTGTTATACTAAATTTAAAATGTATTGCTGAAAACTGATTAATTTGCTTGATAGCCCAAATTGAGGGGCTAGGCTTTATTTATATCCCGTAACCCTATAACATCTAATAAATGCTCCCATTAAAATGGCACAGCAATTCACATAAGAATTCATAAAACATGGCTTTTAACAGCCATATTGAGTCCTCAGAACTTCATTGGTGACACGTGGCATGTTATAGTTTGTAAAAAGTACCACAAAGTGGGACTAATTGCTATAAAACTGTAACTACAACTATTGTTATGCAAAGCGTGTTATAGTTTTAGTTAAAAAATGTAGCTGCTCAGAGAAGGAAAGAATAACTTACTAACTCCTACAAGTATGCTGGCAACCATGCGCATAAAAAAACATTCTCTTGTTTCCCCACAGAAATGCATTGTAAATGTAGATTTTATACCTACTTCGCTTTGCGGTAATTGAAAATTATGTCTGTAAATAAAATTGATATGCGCGGGGAAACATTCGGTGATACATTTCCCCCCGGTTTAGTAATCAAATGGCAGTATGCTATTTTACCAAGAGCAGTGTTGCGATTGTTCAATTTCAATTCACAAATACCTTTTAAAATGAGTGCATTGTCCGGTCTAATTGCGCAGTCCTCGAAAAAGAAGATAACGGGCTGTTTTGATGGAGTCATTTCTGTTAATTTTGCGCTTGTCAAAATTATCTTCATTTTGAGTACATGCATCCAAAATCATTGGTGGCATGCGAGTAATTTTATGCATTTTATTGTCTTCTAATTTATTCCATACAGCTGAGATAGAAATCCAACTCAGGGGAAAAAGAGAGCAGAATCTAATTTGAGAGGGGAAATGGCTCTAATCTTGGCCTATGGATCTAAGATTGGGCCTGTCGCTAAAAATCTGCTATTTTTCAATTGTATCTAGATGAACGCGTCATTGGGACGGTACTAATGGATATTTTTGGTCGCTATTGAAAATTTAGTCTATTGCTGAATTAATGTATGGGCTCAAATTAGCCATTACATCAATTAAACATTAATCCATTTCTCATACGTGAACAATTACTTTCAACAACGATTTCGCTCGTCTCACAACACATCCACGCAAAATAACTACCCCATCTGGTAAATCAAACTGTCAGATGGCGCAGTTAGTTTGCGTGGATGGGTGAGAAATCTACGTTTAAAGTATTTTTTTTAACATTGAAGATAAGCTTTTGTCCCATGCTTCTCCTGCTGCATAAAGTTTGTAAAATTTGTTGTTATTTAAATTTATATCGCAAAAAACAGATTTTTCGATGCAGTTTTCAGAACAGACATGCTAGACACACGCTGGGAAAAAATAATTTACAGCTGATATTCTCTATCTAATGATGACTTTAAAAACAATAGATAGCTTGTACTATTGACAGTAGCTACGGCCGGAGGTGGGGCACATCTATACATATCTGGATTCAAAATGATCGAAAAATCATACAGCTTTCCCCGGAAGAACGCGTTACCCACTGAGTTGCACTCACCGTTTTGTCTCGCTCTGATTTTCTGCAAGTGACTAGCTCTTCATTGACCCTACTCACATGCAAAAAATCAGATCGAATGGTTGAAACCCCGCCGAGAAAAAGCGGTGGGTGCAACTCAGTGGGTAACGCATTCTTCGAGGGATAACTGTAATTACATTACGAAACACTTTAATTTCAATTGATATCGCCTTGTTCACCACGTGGCTTGACACGTGGTACGATCGGTACGATGGGCGCTCCTGAAACTTTTGATTCTGAATTAAAGATCACAGATGGCTTTGACTCTGATGATGACTGTTAAGCTGTCATTTGCTCCCAGAAGCTGTTTAAATATCATTACCCCAGGAGTCCAAGTCTTCATAGTTGCTGGTTTCAATTAAACAACAACTGGAGTTCTCAATTGCAGTAACAGGTAATTCCTGAGATCGATGGTCATAATTATATTTGCATTTCCTTGCTTGTTCTCTAGGATTGTACTTTTCTTTAAGAAA